GTTTGTGCTTACTTCAAGAATCTATACCATCAACTTTATCTGTCCCTAGCAAGAATGTATTACCATATTCCTTCCATTCTCCTGTGCCATATACCCTGGTTGTACAGCTTGAGGGTTTTTTTTGTTTCTTTGTTTTTGTTTCTTTTTTTTTTTTTTTTGTCTTAGCGGAAAGCTTCTGTCCAAGAGACAGAAGGGGTCCTGAATGGGTTGCCCTATAGTTTGAGTTTTTATCTTTTTTTTGAGCCTAGTCATTATTAGTTGCAGTGATAAAATTTAAGATTAAAATTGCATTTCACCATATGATTTTTTAAAATTTTTTATTTCAATATTTATTTAAAAATAGCCACATGGGGGCTGGGGATTTAGCTCAATGGCACAAGCACCTGCCTTGCAAGCAGGCGGTCATGAGTTCGATCCCTGGTACCAATAAAAATGAAAAAGAAAAAAAAAAGCCACATGAATAAAGAAAATTCATTTGTAACTGAGATTTACCTTTTGCTCACCAAAGTGCTTTCTCTAGAATCCTTACTTGTTTTTATATAATTGTGCTGTAGTCATACAGCCCACAGGACCGTCTTTTTAGTGATGTATCATGAAACAGAGGACCACACAGTACTTCCTTTCTCCTAAGGTGACACCCTGAAGTTGGCTACAGGGATTGGGTCAGTCCCAGTCCATCCCTGTCATTAGGAATTGACATTGACTTATTTGCGTGAGCCTCAAACCATCTTTGTTGTGATTTACTCAGTAAATATTTCCTAAGCATAAGGTAGTTAACAGATCAGTAGGTATCAAGATAGGTTGGTGGCTTTGCTGACATCCTGTTTACAGTGCCTCCAGGAAGACATGCATTGTGTTAATCAGAATTCAGCAAAGGAAACAGAAGCCATTCTAGGATACAGTTTAAATACAAAAAAGAATTTTGGGAAAGAAGTTAGGTTCTTACCAGAAGTTTAATAAGATTAGAGTTGCCACTAAAAGTTTTGAATTTAAGAGTGGTGATCAGCAATTTCAAGTCCACAGCTGTCATTTTATAATTTATATGCCTTCTAACATTCACAAACACACTAGACAAGCATTTTGAATATATAGTACATCCATTTTAACTTAATTCCTCCTTTTCTATTATCTTGCTTGCCAGTAAATGACAACAGCAGGAAGGTGGCTACCTCTTGATTGCTGTCTTCCAAGTCTTGCATAAGTACTTTCAATTGGTAGAATAAACTTTTGCATGTGGTGCCCTGACAAGACCTCTTAGAAAACAGCATGTTCACCTTCCAGTGGATCCAAAAACCCAAGAGAAAGAAATGAGAGTAGATTTTGTGTGCTGATTAATATTCAAATGAAAATATTTTTAGGATGAAAAGTAGGTCCCCATTACCCTTATGCACATATTTCCTGGAAACACTTAGATTGTATGACTATTAAGTGATTAATTTCAATTGCATTTATAATAAATGATAAAGAGGAACATTGTGCTAAATAGAGTACATTTGGTTAATTAATTAGATTGATGGTTTTAGAAGATGATGTTTATTCACCAACAAAGTTACATTTAAGCTCAAATCTGAAAACAAAGGAGAGCAAAAGAGGTCAGACAAGTGTTCAAGAAAAAGGCCCTGACATTAGAAAAACAGTAGCACATTGAAAGAAATAGGGGAAAAGTAAAGTCAAATGAATAAGTAACAGAATGATCATGAGCAGCAGTCGTTAAGTGTGGCATGAGTCTGATGTAGGCAGCAGCTCGATTACAAGGACCTTGTATACAGATGATAGACTTCATGTTCTACTTTCAAAGCAGCAGGTAATAATTAGAGCACTTAAAGAGAATAACATGTTCAGCATTTTGTTTGTAATTTTAAAAATCTGTATATAGACAAGAGAAAAGATGGGATGACTAGTTAGAGATGGGAATTATTGGAGAATATATGGAAAATATTGCTTGATGGGTCAGTGGGGTACAGAGGATTGAGAAGGAAGGTTTCTGACTACTTCAGAGATGTTTGGCTTATATTACTGAGTGAGTAGAGAAAGAAGGAGAAAGAGCAATAGAGAGGAACCAGTTTGGAAGGAAAGTATGTAGATCGTGAATTTCATTTGGTCTTGCTTTAAAGAAATAATTATGTGTTAGTCCATCTGCAAACATCTGATGTTCAATGTTTTGTCTTAGTATGTGTCTTTATGTGTGTGTGTTAGCATATGATTATTTCATGTTTCCTAATTAAGTGACCCTGTCTTTGATTCTTTAAAGTATGTTTTTTTTTTTTTTTTCTTGGTTATATCACACTTATAAGTTTGCTAGGAGATACCTTCTATGAATGTAAAGAATTTAATATAGTAATGAATTTGAGGTTATTTAGCATAAAGTCTTTAAATCAAATGTACAATAATAAATTTGAGGTTATTTAGCATAAAATCTTTCAGTTAAATTGTACAAATGGATTATATATTTATGCAAGTATGAAAGACTTATACACTTTTGGTTGAATTTATGTAACAGTTTTGAAGTGATAGCACTACAGAGATAAAGAACAAATAGTGGTTACCAGCAGTTGTTAGAATTTTAACTATAAAGACAGTGCAAGGTAGTATAAATGAACTGGTGGTTTTGTTTTTGTGAAGGAATCAATTTGTGTTCCAATAGTGCTGGTAGTTACACAAATGAATACACATGTTAAATCCATGGAACTGTATACCAAAAGTAAAAAAATGGGCAATTTTGTTATAATTATTTTAAAAAGATTTTTTCAAGTGTACAGCCCTGGGCCTTACTCCCAAAGATTCCAGCTCATTTGTACTATAAGGTAAATGAGTTTAATTTGTAGAAAACTAAGATTTGAAGACAGTTAAGAACAGACACTCCGTATATATTTTAAAGTTGTTGCCACATCAGGTCTCTGTTGAACCAACTGAGAAAGAAATACTTGTAAGAACAGAGATAAAGAAATGATCTTTTTTCTTCCTGAGATAAGAGAGACAAATCCAGTTCATAGCCATTGCAGCCAATTCAGCGTGGTACTCAAGTGGTCAGGGAGATGTTACCATGCTGTGACTGCGCTCCAGATTGCCCTGATACGTTCTGGGATAATTCCTCCTATAGTTACATGCTTTCTGTATTTTCTTCCTATGTATTGGTGCCCCAGCAGGGTTAGTCAAATCTTTCAGCTGGGGTTTGTGCAAGAAATGTAATCAGGGTATTCCAGCATACAACTTCCAGGGTATGCTAGACAACCAACTTCATCTGAAACAAACAACAGTAACAACAAACAGTAACCATATAATTTGTACAGAATATCTCCAAATAACAGTTTTCATGTCCTGTTTGTTCTGAATGCCTACTCTTAAATATTGGAGAAGAAATGGAATAAATGAGGTGTCTTATTTCCCTACCTCTGGTCTCTGAAGGATCTCTTTTATGTCTCAGTAAATTTTACATGACTGTTTATCCCAAAATCTTCCCACATTCATGAGAGCTGCTTTAAGATTAATAGTATCTCTTTCTTAAAAGATAACCAACATGATTCAAGTGTAATCATAAAGAATATTACAATATTACATTACTTCTGCAGGATGACTATATTGCACAAGAATAAATATGAAGCTTAATGGGATATAGTCTTTCTTATTAAAGTATGCATATCTGTATTTTTAGACTAAAAGGCTCAAAAACAAGTAAGTTGTTATTTGTTTTGCTTACCAGTAGATGGTGTGGTTTGCTAATGAATGACCTTCAGTTTTACAATAAAGCAGATTTCATGGAATGCAGTTGTTAGTTAATTATTATTATTAATTTAGAATTTTAAAACTGTAAATGACCTTCGTGATCATCAAAGCACCAAAGCCTAGAATAGGATACCAGTCTTCTCAAATCTCTCTCCCTGCCAATATTACTTACAAGCAAGGGGACAAAATGTTGAAAAACAAGTTCTTAAATTCTCATTAATGAGATTTTTAAGAGCAACAACAAATAGTCACATCTGATAACAGAAGCTTTACCATTATAAGACACTTTAAAACATTAGTCTAATGTCTTTAATTTTGTAGAAATATTTTCCCTATTAACTAGTGCTCTTATGGGGTGCTAATACAGATTGCAAATAAATGGATTAAGTCCTGCATTGAAGGTTCACCCAGGCAAAAGTAGACACTGTAAGTAAAGTCAGTGCATTCAGATTAGTTGCAAAATTAAGGAGCCAGAACAGGTAGTTAATGCTTTACCATCACAGATCACCATGAACGCAGTTCAAGGTGACAGCAGTAGGTTATGAACTGAGTGGAACAATGAGGAATGCTGTCCAGACCCATGGAGCATCTCAGTAAAAGGAGAAAAAGTCTTCCAGACAGTGATTCTGGAGTAGAAAGCATTCATTCATTCATTTAGGACATGTTCTACACTGTTCTTGAACTCAGTATGTAGCCTAGGCTGGCCTCAAGCTCATGGCAATCCTTCTGTCTCAGCCTCCTGAGTGCTAGGATTATAGATGCCTAGGAAGTGTTCAATATCCTGAAATTAGTTAAGGATTTTTAGAAAATAGACTTAAAGAAAAGCCAGCCACTTTGGCTGGTATAAGAGAAATTAGGGAAAGAGATTGATTTAAAAAAATTTTTTTTCTTGTAAGACTTTGCATTTTAAGATCTCTGGCCTTTACTCTTAAGAAATTGGGACGCAGGCATATACTTATTTTTTAGAGAGTTTTTGGAAGGTTATAAAACATAATACTGACTGATTGCAAGTAGGGACAATAGGATAAAAGAGATGGTTGCTTTCTACTTGATTCCTTTTGAATTTTGTGTCATGTTCCATTATTACCTTATTTTAAGACAGACAACAGAAAACTGAAAGATTTTCTTAAATTATTATATAATAAAATGTAGTTACAGCTTAAGATACTTAAAAATGTTATACTTTCTTTGATAAACTCATTCAACAGATATGTTAAATACCAGTTGCTTTTAAATGCTAAGCAATTCTTTTTGTATTTTGTTGATGTCTACTGTAGGTTCAAAAGTCAAGAAATAAGCAAGTACGAGAATTATTTGCAGATGGTTTTAGTATTCATCACGCTGGAATGCTTCGGCAGGACAGAAACTTGGTTGAAAACTTGTTTTCCAATGGGCATATCAAAGTCCTTGTCTGTACAGCTACCCTAGCTTGGGGTGTCAATCTTCCTGCTCATGCTGTTATTATTAAGGTAGGAGCTTACCTTCCTTTGCACACGGATTTGTGTGTGTGTTAAAACAAACCTTTGGATTGATTTATTTACAAAAATATTGTGATTTGGGTGTTTCATTGACTTTATTATTTATATAAGGTCAGAATTATTTTCTTCAATAAGAGTCTAGTTTACCTTGTGGAAATTTAACTCTATCACAGATGATGAAAGGATTAGTTAAAGTACACTTTTGAAATCTTGCCATATTTGCCCAATTTCAGTATTCAGCTCTCCAGGATTATATTTGTGTGTGTTTATGTAAATTTTTATTAACTTTTTCTCATCTAGGGAACACAAATATATGCTGCAAAAAGAGGCTCCTTTGTTGACCTTGGAATTTTAGATGTCATGCAGATATTTGGCCGAGCTGGACGACCACAATTTGATAAATTTGGGGAAGGAATCATTATAACAACACATGATAAACTCAGTCATTACCTCACTTTGCTCACTCAGCAAAACCCGATTGAGAGTCAATTTCTGGAAAGCCTTGCAGATAACCTAAATGCAGAGGTAAGATCTATTGAGTAAAAACTTAAAATAGAATTATCAGCTTTAAGAGTATATTGAAATAGGAGTTAAGTTGGTTGCTGTTTTGTAGAATTTAGGAATATAGCCTATGCCATACAGTTGTAAGGCAAAATTGCAAATGGCAATATTGCTAATGTTCTTACACCAGTCAAAAATGTAGACAAGATTGATAAGAGCTCATTGTAAATGACCATATTTCACATCTACAAAGTTTTGTTGTAGACAAAAAATTCAATCCAAAGTTATATAAACTAGAGAAACAAAAATAATAACAATTTTTAATTGCACACTGATTTTAACAAGTAAAGAAAGAAAACATTCTTACAGTTGAAGTAGATATGTCAAACATTCACTGGGCGTTTTACTGTTTGATTGTTTTCCTGATATTTTTAATTATAGAAAAATCCCTGACTTAGAAACATTTGAGTTGAGAACTTTCACAGATAGAAACAAACCTCACATCACAAATACTTATAGATGGCAGACAAACTGCTAAAATATTTCATGTGCCTGCTGGATATTGTCACAGTTGTGCTGCTGTTTGCTTACTGTGCAGTATGATAATATATAGCAGTACAGAGCTCAGTCAGAGCCCAGGGTCTCCAGAAGCAAGAGGAACAGCAGAGGTGGGGTGGAGGGGACTTCTAGGAAGTGCAAAGCAATATGCATTGTATGTTGCTGTCAAAGGTAAGACTCACTTTGTTGGATGTAAGGAATCTGACTTATGAATGTTCTCGCAAAAATGAAACTCATTTGTAAGTATTTGGCTGTCATTTCTTTTAAATTTGAGACTAATAGTTTTTGAAAGTAGTTTGGATATAAAATAAAGGAATCATATACAAATACATATGGCTTATTGTTTACCAGTTTACCGTAAAGAAATTTCACTTATAATTTATGTTCATAATTTATGAATCTGCTTAAAAAACGAAAAAGAAAAACAAACTTATTTTGCATTTCACTCTGTTAAGAAGCTTGAAGTCCAAGGGAGGAAGAAAAACATGACAACACTGTCAAATGATATTAGATCAGGTTCTATAGAAGCATTCGACAAAAAGAGAAAATACGGTTGGCCCCAAGCTATCAGGAAAGGCAGTTTTCTTTGAAGGTAGTAAAACTTCTAAGTTTGGAAGGATAGGTAAGCTTTGGAAGATAATGATTGGAAGTTCAAAGAAAATATGAAAGCCTCTGGCTTCTAATTACAAAATTGCAGGACAATAAAAATGATGGGAAATAAATTTGAATCCAAAGAATATTTTTATTGCTCTATTTTAGTCATTGTTGTCTGTTATTGAATGGTTTAAGTAATTGTGGTCCTGAGACTCTTACAGTAAAAAGCAAGGTTCTTTTATGTAGTATTTATTTTAAAAGCATGCCAAGAAAGACTAATTTTTGTAAACTTATGTCCTTAAAAGCTTTTTGCAACTGCTAAAGTAAACACAAAATGATAATGTAAATACAAAAGATGCAAATAGCATAAATACTGTTGTTGTCCTGCAGGAACTCTCTTCTTAGGGGAAAATAAAATAGCATCACTGAAATCATTTGGTAAAGCCTTGAGAATAAAAATAGGTGATCCTTCTTAAGTTCATATCATAGTTGTAAAGTACTTAGCAGATACATAGTTCATAGAAATGTCAAATAGCTGTAAGCCTAGTTCCATTTAGTGTTGTGAAGAGCATTCAAATAACAAAACATAAAAGTTTGAAAATTTTAGCTGATATAGTGAAGTAAACACATTGCTAAACTTTCTCATCTCTTGGTCTACTGTCAAAGCTCTCTATGAAACAGACTCCCTGAAATTATGGTTGAATGTGAAGTTAAATATAGTAATTGGTAGAAATCAAGTGTGAAGTTAGTTTATACCATGAACTTGTGCTGTATTCTTAGTTACAGATTTTTAAGTCTTTAGGCTCCCAAAATTTTTACAAGACTGTACGATGGCAGTAATGCTGTTAGAAACCTCTATTAATATCTTTGATTTTTATGACTAAGAATTAGAAAAGTGAAGAAATGATTATATTAAACATAGTTTTAATGCATGTATTTTTGAAGCATGTTGCTCAATGATGTCTAACGGGCTGACTCCATAACCCTAACCCTGAAAAGTTATAAATCCCTTCCCTATATGAAGAAGTTCAATTTGTAGTGAGAGAACAGTGAGACATGTTTGTGACTTATTAAAATCGATTCATTGGGTAGTGTTGGATACCTACTCTGTTTTGTCCTGCTTTGGTCCAGACTTTAAAACTGTATTAATTTTTATATATTCTAACATGTATTCTTTACACAGACTTCCCATAAACTGTTTGTTCTACAAATATTTGTTCTTAAATCTCAGAATATCAGTGCCATTTCTGCCTCTCACTACTCTACAAGGCACATCTTCTCTCCTAGAAGGTTGTTATTCTGTTTTCACCTGTCAGGCCCATTTTTCAGGTTGTTTGTATTGTTTCTGACTGGGGGGGGGAGGTGTTTTTGTTTTTGTATTTTTGTTTTTGATTTTTTTGATACCTTTGAATTTTGGAATTGAACTCACACTTGCTGGACAGTTACAGTGCCAGTGAGCTAAGTCCCTGGCCCCCATTTGTTTTTAATAAACTAGATATATTCTTATGGCATTGTTGTAAAATTGTGTAAATGCCTCTTTCCAAGTTTGTATGTCATAAATCATAATGCCACTTACTTTTTCTGATAGTCCCTTCATATGTAGCCTCATTTATTCCTGCCAGCATTGAAATTTTAGTTGAATAAACAAATAGTAGCATAGTTTTCATACACAGGCATACTTAAAGTATGTAGTTTATATATACACACACATATACATACATATATGTCTGTTATACATATTTATGATAACTATATTTGCTTATTTATAAGGTTTCAGCCAATTTTCAAATGCACAAGTAGTATAAATAAAAAGATAGCTATAAAGACTAAAGTTTAAAATATAAGTTAGATATAAAGTCTTAAATATACTTGTGTTATTTCTAAATTACCAAGTTTGGTATGGATTTTATTTTCCTTAATGGAAATCTCTATCACAGTATACACTAACGCCAGTTTATACAAACAAATACATGTCATATATTTTCTTTAAAGCCATCTTGAAGATGTACTGTTATTACTCTGCTAGGCATTTTGAATGTTGGATTCATATGACCATCTTAATTACATGTGTATCACCTTCGTGATGAAGAAGTGTCTTGAAGCCCGATACCATTAGCTGTTTGTTACCATGCCCATGTATTTTACATAGTGTGTTGGATCATTAATGACTCACTATATGATTATAGAGAAAAAAAACAAATTTTAGGTACTAGGAAAAACTTGTTTTATGAAAGGTTCCTCTCTTAAGTAGCCACTAGGTGTCAGCAAATATTTACAAGAAATTTTTTATTTTTGTCACTAGGTGGCAGTCAAGGATTAATCTCAAAATAAGATGTGCCATCATAAATTTACGTTTTAATTTTCTAGCGAACCTGTTCCTTTTTGGTGAATGATTAGAAGACTTGGATTACTTGATTCAATGTTTGTTACCTACTTTCTTCTTTAGTATTATCACTAGTAGCAAAGGGTAATTATTGATGTTAATTTACTGAGTAGCTTTAAAAATTATAGCAAGCTTTATCTTTTATAAAAGTTTCTTAAGAGTTATGTGGTTTTTAAAAATAATATCATCAAGTCAAAAGGGAACATAGTTTATTATTTGAAGGTAATGTAAGCTCGTAAGGAAATATAGGTCATATAGCATGTGACTCAATACTATTTTGACCATCAAGTAAGTGGAATAAAATGTAGTAGAAGCTTCTAGACATGTCTTCAAACTAGTTTTATTTAGCTGAGAAAATGTTTGACTGTTCTATTAATCCAACCTTTGAAATTATCACATAGCTCAGAACTACAGGCTGAATTTTACTTCAGGCTACTCAATGAATAGTGGAAAGCCTAATAACTCACATTTTAAGAAATGCGTGTGTTACATATATTGCAAATGACTTAGTCACTTTTTAAAAAGTAGTTGAAATCTAAAAGTAACCAGAGTCAGCTTTCTCATGTATTTACTTTTGTTTCTTTTTCTGCTTTTTAAATAACAAGTAGTATGATATAATATTGTGGTGAAAATTGTATGTTGCTATATTTCATCTTTAACGAAATAAAGACAGCCAAGCACTAACTTTCATATTGAGAGTTGAACCTGAGGCCTTGCACATGCTAAGCACACACTGCACTATTTTCAACTCAGTTGCAGGTTTATTTCACAAAACTAGTTATGCAGGATTCAGAGTTACAATGTAGAAATTAAAGCAAATATGAAAGTTTTTATGTTCTTCAATATTCTTACTAAAAGGACAGAAACCCCCCCATTTAATAATTTAGATGTGGAACGTCTGTCCTTTGATTGAAGTATTAAATGGTCAAAAAAGAAATTTGTAAGGGTTCAGGAAACACTATGTAACTATCAAGTTCCACAACTTGGGAAAATTATTAAAGCAAAACAAACAACTTAAAAGAGTAAATTTTCTGTGAATCCACTGGCTGAGGAAATACATTTTTTTAATAAAGTATCTTGTTAAAATTTTGTTTTTCTCGAATTGCTTTCTATTTACTACACAGTTCTTTCTCTGTTGTGGATTTAAACCATTAACGTTTGGTTTCATTTAAATACTGTATCACAAAGCTACAATAAATTGCTATGTTGAAAATTATGTTTCCTTGCTGAATATAAAGAATTATCTGGTGTTATGATTCAGATATATACATATTTATGTTTTTCATAGGTCGTGTAACATTTCCCCTATTATATATATTAATATATTTAATTATATTTAATATGTATTAATATATTTAATTCCCAATAAAATCTGCTTTTTATATAGAACTGATTTAATTTGCCTTTGTGTTCATATTGTACAAGCAGTCCTATAAAAGGGTATCTTAGATATCCTTTCTGTGGTTTGGCTGATGATGGAGCACAGAATCAGGACAAATAGGGATAGAACTATTAGTATTTTGTTGTTTTTATTCTGGTATACTTATAATTCAATTTTTGTTCCATAGCATAATCACCTAAAATTAAAGTAAAATGAAATGGCTAGCAATCAAGGAAAAAGAAAAAAAACAAACATCAAAAATGTCCTTATTACTTTGTCAAGTTAAACTCTATATGGGGAAAAATTAATCAAATGCTACAATATTGAGTTAGTTCAGTTTTAGAAAATAATGTTTCTGGTGTTCTCTCAATTTAATGAAGCAGGACTGATTTTTAATTTATTGGAGAAGTCATGCCTGGTATTTATCTTTACCATCTTTTAAATGCAGCACAAGGATCGATTTCAGAAACATAACTTCTGACAGAATGGTCTTTGCTGTAATGATCTGTTGTATTTTTTGTTTGCAGATTGCGTTGGGAACAGTCACTAATGTGGAAGAAGCAGTGAAGTGGATAAGTTACACTTACCTTTATGTACGGATGAGAGCAAACCCATTAGTATATGGCATCAGTCACAAAGCTTATCAGGTAAAAAACTCATTTAGGTTTTTAAAAAAATCCTGAAACCTTTTTTTTGAGTTCTCTAACACTTGCATAATATGAGGATAAATATTTGCTAGTCTTGCTTCATCTGAAACAGGACCTACAAGAAAAATAAAGAGCATTAATCTATTTCAGAAAGCACTAATGAGAAATTAATGGCCTTCTGTGATATTATCAATATATTTTCATGTATTTCCATTTGATTATATTATTGATATTTTTAAGATAGATAAATTTAGTTTTAGGATAAACAAGACTGAAAAAATTTATAGACTTTAATAAAAAGATTGTTCCATAGCTATGCTATTGTTCTTATCAAATCTTTTCTATATTTCTATATTTTCTATATTATAAATTAAAAGATAGTATTAGTAGTGAGTTACTACTAACAGTAGTGTGGAGGCTTGTATAAGTTTCATGATTCAGTATGTATGCACAGGCTGAGAATTAAATACATGTGATGCGAGATTTTCCTATGAACTTTGTAATTGTGTGGTCCATGTGGCTTATAGATTCTCTGAGGTTTTGTTTGAATTCTACTTTATACACTGTAAATGCTTTCTAATTACAGATAAAATCCAGTTGTGGTCTACTGAAAACATCATCTCATTGTTACCATATGAATATTCACTTATCAAAATGGTTAAAGAAATTTAAATCAGAATTTATGCTGATGTGCATCCAGTCTCTGGTTAGGTTTGGGTTGGTTTGCTGTTGCTAAGGTGACCTGGCTCAGCTCAAATTGATAGTCCTCCCAGAGTGCTAGAATTACAGGTGTGCACTCCCGTGCCAGGCTTCATGTTTCTGAATTTTAAAATTTACTTAAGCTATCATAACCAACTATGTTAAAACAAATGATGGTAGTATAAACTCTTTAAATTTGCAGTGTTTTTATATTCACCTCAGTTCTCAGTAAGCATCATGTTTTACCTTATTTCTTATGACCAGAGAATAATCTTCATGACTTGGCATGTACACATGTATGGGTATGTATACATACATCATAGCAACAAGAATATTTGTTAATATTCTGTGTTAAATAATACTTTGCTTAGAAAAAGACTAATATTTTTACTATACATAAATTCATTTTTTTTTTGTTTTCATTCTTATTGTAGTCAAAATGGATATCCCAACAGCAATTATGAAAACTGTTAGAACAGGACTTTAGCTTTAAAAGATAATAGAGCTTTTATTTTTATGTATTTTAATGTATTTTTATGTATTTTAGGGAAAACGTTCTTGCCATCATTTCTCCAAATAACTGCTAAACTAGGAATGTGGTTTGATAATTTTAACTTAGTATTTATTTCACTGTGGGGAAGAGGAGATAATGCTTTTTCTATAGCCAATTCCCAGTCTTCATAATCTTGAATAAGACCATATAATAATTTTAGATTCAAGAATATTTGCATCTGAGGAAAATATGCAAACTGATATTTTTCATTAATTTTGAAGTTTTATTTATATAATAAAACTTTTCTGGTTGTTTCTTAATTTTATTAACATATACTTTAAATTTTTAATTTAAAAATATTCTATTCAGTATTCCCACTACTGAGTATATATCTGAAGATAATGAAACCAGTGTGTCAAAGACACATTATCTTCCATGTTTATTGCAGCACAATTTACGATAGTCAAGAAGTGAAAGCTTCCTCAGTGCACATCACTTGCTGGATAGATAAAGACAGAGTGATAAATATTCATAATAAAATACAATTCAGCCATTAAAAAGAGTGGAATTTCATCATTTGTAACAGAAAAGCTGGAATTGGAGATTATTAAGCAATGTAAGTCAGGCACAGAAATACATGTACCACATTATTTCATTCATATGTGGATCTAAAAACGTTCGTCTCATCAAAGTTGATAACAGATTGTTGTTTACTAGAAACTGGGAAGAGTAAAAAGAGAAGGAGCGGTAAAGGAAAGTTGATTAGTGAGTAAGTTAAAATTAGGAGCAAATAGTTCTGGTGTTCTGTTCTGTAATAGTGTGATTGTAGGTATCAGTAATGCACTGTACGTTTTTCAGAAAGCTACAAAAAAAGATTTTGAAAGATTTTATTTTTACCATTGTATATAACAAATATTTGAAGAGCCTTAACGTTTACCTTGAATTGAGCATAATACAGTGCATGTGTATTGCATCATCACCTTACCCCAGTATATTTTTTTACCTTTTGTGTACAATTAAAAATTAATTGCAAAAAAGGCTAAAATGTCAAGAAGTTTTTAATTTCCATAAATGGCTTTTGTTTGTAAGTGATGACTGTCTAAAGAATTCAAGTGTTTCCATTTCTTTCCTGCAGATTGACCCAACATTAAGAAAGTATCGAGAACAGTTAGTCATTGAAGTTGGAAGGAAACTTGACAAAGCTCAGATGATTCGTTTTGAAGAGAGAACTGGGTATTTTTCCTCAACTGATTTGGGTAGAACTGCCAGCCACTTCTATATTAAATACAACACCATCGAGGTATTGTAGAGGAACAAATGCAACCGTGTATTTGTTTTAAAATGCAGATAGTTTCTAGACTTCAAAACATGCACACTAATAATGAAAAAAAGCAGCCAGTAGATTGAAATATATTTAATTTGTATAAATTTGACAATATATCTGTATAAAAAATAAGATAAAAATAAGACCTTAAGTAGCAAAGGTCCTCTTGGCATCTTGTTTAATAAATGTATCCCTAGCAGTACACATTCCTACACCTAAGACAGCTTAAGCGTATTTCTGAGTCTTAAGAGATGAGTGCCTGACTAACTTTCAGAGTGCAAAGCTATGACTTAATACTACTCATGAATAAAAAGTAGAAAAGTTAATTGCATGTTATTAAGAAACATGAATTGAAGAAACATGAAGATTTACAGAAACCAACCTAGTTTCCAAGCCCACCTTTCTATACTATATGGGCAATTTAAGGAATTTTCAAAGCTAATTTTGACCTCACAATTGCAGTGTGGCCTGTTTTGTTTTAGTATAGTCCTCTGTGAAGTTGTCACTTTACTATTTTCATTTTGAAAAGTGTGCACATGCCTTCATGTGTGTTTGTTTACATATGTCATTGTATAGGAAAATTCAACAGAAAATCTACCTTTGTAACACAAAGGCTTAAATTTGAAGAGAAAAATACAGGTTAAGGTGAATTTTTATCATTTATTCTATTTATAGTTGCATCTTTTGAACTTGTCTTATATTCATTTTTACTTCTGTACTTTAAACATTTTAAAATGGGAAAACACAAATCATTTGAATGAGATTTCTTCAGAAATATTAGAACCTTAGTTTATATGAAACCTAGGTTTTACACTCATTTAACATTTGCTTATACATATGTTTCAGAAAACACTGTCATATGGTTACTTGTTCTTCTGCTTTTCCAAAATAAACCCTATATTTAAGATTTCTACAAAGCCTTTTAACAGGTGCTGTTTCACAGGTGTGATCTGTGGCTCCTCAGCGCAGCACTGAGCCTTCGCTGCTTCCGTCACCTGCTAACATCTACTCATCTTCTCTGTCCTCCAACTTTCTTATTCTGTCCCCTTGCTCGTACATCAACACTAACTTGCCTTCTGAGACTACAGTTCTTTTTTGAGAAACTCTAGCCTTGCTTTACTTTTGTCTTTATTCTACCTAACTTTTGACTGATTTTTTTCTCATCCAAGTTTCCTGATTTTTGGTGTATACCCTTATTGTTAATATTGTGAGATTCTTTACATATTTTTCATTTTTCTCTCTGAATTTTATGTGCTTACAATTAGTGAATGTAGCATATTTCTGTATACCCATGCTGAGCCAAAGAAGAAAATACTATGAAGAACATTGTTTAGGCATCTAACATAGACTTCATTAACACTTTATTGTTCTTTTGACTTATAAAAGTCGTCCTCAGTTGTAGGAGTGTTTTCCATCTTTCATAAATTTGATAATATTATAAAGCAAGGACTTAGAATACTAAACTATTAACATATCTCAATGTTCTTTAAGGCTGTGTGATTTATAGTAATATTTATATTTTTAAATATCTGTGAACTTTACATTTTAATCAATATAACTCTTACTTTGATAGACTTTTAATGAACTCTTTGATGCTCACAAAACTGAAGGAGACATTTTTGCTATAGTTTCTAAAGCTGAAGAATTTGATCAAATCAAGGTAAGATCACTTGAAGTTTGAATGAAAACACTGATTCCTTTATGGATTTATAAAAGCTTATAATTATTTTTTCTGATACAATAAGCAATGATCTTCCATTGATCAGTCTACTTAGCATCCTAAATTACAGTATTGTTTTGTAACTGACATTCTTTGTAGGCCAAATCAAGTAATTTAAATAGATTTACTGTATTGAAGAATATAAAATATACACTTTGCTTTATTTGTAATATAAAGTTCACTGAAAAAAATAAAAAGTACATACATACTTCTGACTTACATATGAATGTATTTGATCTCATATTATACTTCAATTGTATCAACAGGGAAAACTTTAATACTTTGAAACAGTACTTCACAACTTTAAGCTGTGAACATATACCATATAAAAATATGTAACTGTAATGAATACATTTGGTGATAATCAAGTTTTCCCTAATCTGGTTGGGCAGAGGTTTTATTCTGGTCAAATGAAAAATGAAATCTCATCAATTGAAGGATAGTAAGGTCAGATGGTTTAATTTTTCTGACATATCAAAATTTTTATATGTCAGTGGCAACTGTACTGTTAATGATGAATAATAAAATGTAATTTTATTAAGATGGTTTCATGTCGTATTTTATTGCTACCTGTGGAAAACTTATTTTAGGTATGAAAGAAAATATGTTGTACTAAATTGAAAGTTTTAAAAACATGCTATGTTGTTTAATTTCAGCATAAAAATTTTAATAAAACAGCCCAAATATTACTATTAAAACTTCCAGGTCAGAGAAGAGGAAATAGAAGAATTAGATGCTTTGTTAAACAATTTCTGTGAACTCTCAGCTCCTGGAGGTGTAGAAAATAGTTATGGGAAAATAAACATCTTACTTCAAACTTACATCAGTCGAGGAGAAATGGACAGTTTCTCCCTTATATCAGATTCTGCGTATGTTGCACAGGTAAGACTCTTCCTCCTTTTCCATGTTTCTTTACTCTGCTTATTTTTATGAATTTATCTGATTTTATATTATGAATGCATAGCAAAACCAAAGTATCACTGTATTTTAGAAACTTGTTCTTTTCATTTCGATAGAATCAGTGCTTATAAATCAGGACTGAATGAAATTTTGTGGTTGGTTTGGCTTGTAGCAAATTTCCCATTTAATGAAATTTCATATGTCTCATACATTCAATGTAATAGGTTTCTGGGTTTTTTTTATAAAAAGTAATCTTCTGTACTATTGATTGGAGTTTTTTTGTTTTTGTTTTTTTGTGGGTTTTTTTTTTTTTTTTTTTTTTTTTGTCTTTTTCGTTTTTACGGGTACGGGGAATCAAACTTAAGACTGCCTGCTTGCAAGGCAGGCGCTTACGCCGCTGAGCTAAATCCCTAGCCCCTGTACTATTGATTCTTAAAAATCAAAGATTGAAAGAAAAATATCCCCCCAAACTACAGTACATTTAATTTCTAAATTTAAAAAATTATATGGTAAGAAATATTAGTATCTTTATGTTTTTATATTCAAGTCTTCATGTGACATAGCTTAATGTATTCTGTTTATCTTTTAAATTAAAGGCTTTCTTTAGAGATGCACATTTCTTAAATGTATACATCAAGCATATATATATATATATATATATATATATATTTTTTTTTTTTTTTTTTTTTTTTGGCATTGAAAATCAAACTCAGGATCTTGCTCTTGTGAGGCAAGTGCTGTGCTGCTGAGCTGTATTCCCAGCCCTCAAGCATTGTTTGTATTTCTTATTGAGTAAATACCTCCATGAAATGGGTTAAAGTTAATCTTTTTTAAAATATGTAATTAGTCTATTGTTACATTATATTTGTGACTTTGTTCAAAACCTGTATATTAGGAAAGTATGGTTCAATTAAATAAATGTGAATAGCCATGAATGTTTGGGAATGCCTGGAAATAGCTGAGGACATGAACTATTTTACAATCATGAATTCAGATATATTGGTCAACGGTTTGAATCCCTGCAGTAAGTTAATCAGTGTGACCAAAAAACAAATGATAATTTCATAAATTATATAAAGAAAAGATATAAATAGTGAAAACATTTATATTTACAAATGTTTCAGCTTTTAGAGGAGTCATGATTTCTAACTTTGTTTAGTTTTTCTGAAAGGTAATTTAGTATTGTATTTTACATTTTCTAATGATTATATAAAAGGTTTTGCTTGTTCTGGATAGTAGTTACATTTCTATTTGATTGACGATTATGAAGATGATATTAGAAATAACGAGAAGTGCCTTACAATATAAATCTTACACATTTCCACCATGAGTGGTATCCAGGAAGTCCGTTTATATGAAGGACATATCTCAGAATCTCAGAACCACTCTGGTTTTTCCTAAGCAACTATTGTGAATTTATCATCTTTAAATGCGTTTACTTTATTATACTTCAGTTATTGTGTTTGAAGTTTAAAACTTAGGTTTAAGCCATAAGTAATTCTGTAGGCCGTCTTTCGTATCCTTTTATATGTCTTAAATTTGCTTGCCTGAGCACCTAAGGTAAATTGTTGCCTCAAGCTCCTTTAAGATCCTAGAAGCCTGTGTTTAAACTCTCTAAAGTGTATGTATTGCAGACTTTCCCCCACACGATCTGCGTCATTATTCCAACCTAATTTATATGATTTCAAATTAAAATGGCCTCTTTCTGTCTGGTCATATATGGAATTTGTACTTCCACTTCTTTCAGCTTTTAGAGAACAATTATAGTTTCTAAAATATAAAAGTAACATATTTCAAAGGTAATTGGAAAAATTAGCCTGACATTTTTACAAGAACTAACGGAAGAATCTACAAGATAGTTATAATAATTAAAATTCTCATTTTATGTATTTTCTAGGACTTAATAAGACATATCTGTGATTCCTAATGAGCATCAGAACTGTCCTTAGACTTCTACCTACCTTTTTTGTTTTTAAGCTTGTAAAATTGCAAGAAGAAAAACTTCAGTTTGTCAGGAGTAAAACAACAGTTTTAAAATTTAAAGCAAAGATTTTAATTCTTATATCACATTTTACCTCATAATTTTATGCTGGATCACCTCTACCATTTGGAATGTTTATTATCATTTCTTGTAACATTGTTTTAATACTAACATTACTTTCCAACACAGATGTCTATACATATTTGATGATGTGTCTGAAGTTCATCAGTAACAGAACCTTAAGTAACAGTCTTCAGTTAATGATGAAAGAATGCAAAATTGGGAAATCGTTACAGGATTTTTAAAAAAACACATTCATTCAGTTTAGCTTTCTGTATATCTATAATGAAGCTATCCTCAGACTGTGTAGTTTAGTATCTTAAAATGAAGTTTGGAATCATTTAGCTTTGGAATTGAATAGATGTTCTCATACTAACTGCCTATGTGACTACGGTCAAAATGTTAATATCTTCAAACTAGTGTAACTGTGAAATCACAGTATTACTACCAATGAGATGTAGTTGTTGTGAACATTAAATGAGATAATGTTTGTAATACTAGTTACATTGCTTGTTTTAGGGTAGCTATTAATATGAGTAGCTGTACTAATCAGTGCTTGTCACCCCATTTTTTCTGATTGGTTCTCAGAGTCCTCCTTAATTTTCATCAGAACAGTCTTATAAGTTTAATAATTTCATATACCTAGAAGCATTCCCTTTTTATGTTCTGGATGCCTGAACAGCCTTCTGGATATTTTGCATGCCTTTTGTCTTGTCCTGCTGCATTTCTACTTAGAGAATGTAAGCACAGGGTTTCCTAAGAACTTTGGACTAAGGCTGCTCGGAGTTTAGCAAGTGTTGTATACATAAAAAGGGTGTAATTACTATTGTGAGTGAATAATAAAGAAAATTGGATTCATATGAAACTTCCAAGAGGCAGTTTGACGTAACCTTCTCTTGACACTGAGTTGGAATAATGTATTTGTTGACAAATTTAAAACCACTTTGGCTCTAACCGCCAGTCTGCCTCGTTTGTTCTTCAGAATGCAGCTAGGATTGTCCGTGCTCTTTTTGAAATTGCTCTAAGGAAACGTTGGCCTACCATGACCTACAGGCTCCTGAATCTTAGTAAAGTCATTGACAAAAGACTTTGGGGCTGGGCTAGCCCTTTGAGACAATTTTCAGTGTTACCACCACACATTCTAACAAGACTGGAAGAAAAAAATCTTACTGTGGATAAGCTGAAAGACATGCAGAAGGATGAAATAGGTAAGAAGGAAACAAAAAGTTAAATTTATTTTTCTGTATAAATGAAGTAGTTTACTAAATATAAATATATTGTGAATTTTCACATTACTCAAGATAAATTTTTACCACAGTTTTAAAATCTGTCTAAACTTGAGTAAAAGCCACTAGCTCACTCCAAGTTTTATGAAGTTATTTGTCAGAAATAGCAATTAAAATAACTTATATTGTCATACCATTGAGTAATTTACACCAGAAATGGAATCTTAACCATAAATGATAACTTTCAATAGTGTTTGTTTTCATTTCACTTTTAAATATTTAATTGATTTCAAAGACTTTTTATATATATCAGCAATAGTACTGTATAAGTTTATGTGAACATTAAGCTTTGCATTTTTCCTGGATTTTTAAGTGAGCTTAAATGAGTGTACATAGTATGTGGTATTCTACTTTGTTTCATATAATATCAGAAGTTTTTTCAACATTATTTCCATGAGTCTGAACATTTTATTAGACAAGTGTATACATTATTGATGAGGTAGCATTTCAATTCTGAATAGAACAGATATTACACAAGAAAGTAAACAGGTTGAAAACAAGTAAGAGCAAGCAGTAGTGCTGGCAGAAAGTCCAAGGATGTTAAGAGAGACTGACATGATTATTATTCTTCCAGAGGAAAAGAATGTTTCTTCTAGGATAGAATAGAAGGTAGAAATTATCAATAGAAGGAAACTGACTACCAGGAAAGATAGTTATATGCAGTATATGTTGTATTTTGATAAGAAAGATAAGGTTTAGTTTTAATTTTGCTAAAAATAGTTTATCACACTTATTTGTAGTCAGATTTGCTTTGTGACAGCCATTCCTGTGGTACTTGCATGCATATTTTCCAGGATCTTATTATTTATGAAAATTATTGATTATTAAAATCATTAATTATATGAATAATTAATTTTGTGGCAGTATCACCATATTTTATGTCAATATGTTTATGTTTTCTGGAAATGAATGTAGATGGATGAGTTGTATTTAATTATAGAAGCATTTTCTGTTATAATACTACAATTTCAAAATAGAGTTTGAAAAAAATCAATGGCTATTTTCACAAAATACTAAATATTTCTGTACTGTATCAAAACTGCTGTGAAAACAAATGAGTCTGTTTATAGTAGTTTAAACACCGTCAAGTCTCAGTAATTTTAAGAGCTCTATTAATACCTGAAGGAACCTTGGTACTGGATTTCAGAGCTATGAATTTCTAATTCAAGTTAATGATTACAAAATACTTGTCTGGTTAAGAATGTCAGCTATTCTGTGCAGCAAATCATAAAACAAGTAATAAAATCACCTTTGAAATGCTATTTACAAGTCAAAGTATACTGCTTTTTTCAATCTGGACACATTTCTTCGACATGATATTTTTCTCTCAGGTCACATTTTGCATCATGTGAATATTGGACTGAAGGTTAAACAGTGTGTTCATCAGATCCCTTCTGTTATGATGGAAGCATCCATCCAACCCATCACCCGGACCGTTCTCCGAGTGACACTCAGCGTCTACCCAGATTTCTCTTGGAATGATCAGGTAGAAGTGGAAAAAAACCTGTATCTTGGTTAAACTCAAATGACTGTATGACAAGTTCCAATGTATTTGTTTACATCTGTCTCTGAGACATAGAAAATCCTGTAAAATAAATGTAAAAGAACCATTAAAAACATAGTAGTAGTATTTGTATCCCTCCATAAGAAAAATGTGTTTGGTTAATCATATTTCAACCAATAAAAGCCCTTTAAAACTGTCACTCTCTATGTTTCTTAAACATTAGGCTTATCAAAAAAATTCTATATTTTCACGTTGTCACCAGTTTCTTTCTTTCTGAGACTACTTTTCCAGTGATCGCCAGTGACTAAGTGGCTACCCTAAAAAATACATTTTTCTGTTGTTTTCTTTACTTCTCTGAACATTTAACACTATATATAAATATGTATACATATATATTTACATATTTATGTACCTAGCATCTCGCATTATATTTCTTGTTTCAGTTCTTATTCCTCATTCTTTCCTCCTTCAATACTTTACACATTAGTGTATTAGAATGTAGTTATAGACGCATGGTGCAGATCTACTCCAGATCTTCCTCTCCCTCAGCCAAGGTCTGTCTTTGCGTAGCTGCCAGGTTAGAAATTGTGGGTACAAAGGCAAGTAAGACGCATGCTTTGCCTTCAGGAAGCCGAAAAGAAAGACAAGTGAATCTGTGATTGCGGATCACAATGCTTGCTTTTGATGGTTACTTTGCTTTTGATGGTTAACAATTATAAATGAATAATTTTGCATTATCTAGCATTAATACATTTGTAATGTGAATGAATTTTATTCAGCATTGTGCTCTAAATTCACACAGCTGTAGTCCTATCTGAACTCCACGTTAGCCTTAAAGTGTCCATACCTTTAATTCTCATGATATCTTCATCCATAAACAATCATTTGTTTTCTCATAGAATTTCTGTGAAGACTGGATAATGATACAAAATTGTATTTATTATTTCTATTAATATAAAATTCACATAAATATAAAATTATATTTAGGTATAAAGTGATGGATTGTTTTTGAATTGAATAAAAGTTTCATATTTTTTTCACAGTTATATCCATAATCAATTTGCCAGTTTAGATTAAATAATTAGTAAGAGAGAGTGCTTGTTTTATAGCAATCTCTGTTAGAGAGAATGCTATTGGCTTTAAGAATGGAAATTTCATCTCTGAGCCTCATATAACCAAGATAATATATTATCTTGTATAATAAAAGGTCCACAGGAAGAATAGCCATAAAAAACGGCTGAATAATCTGGTTAATAATATCATTTATGTGTCAAGATAAATGTTCTGTTGTTCTTTGTTCTGTTGATACTGTTGGGTATTTTCCAAATGTTTGTATGCATCCTTTTTCATATTCAACAGAACAAGAAGAAAACATTACTCTTTTCCCCAGCTCGAAGTCATTTTTTCAATCCAATTTTATCAGTATTTGTGATGAGCTTCCCTTCTACTATAGCTGCTTTAAGGATAATGCCATGAGCTAATTGGCTTATGGGATCACCTTCTCTTAAGTTGTACAAAGCAGGGAGAGACGAATGCTTAGTAAGACTGGGCTTTGCAGAGAAGTAAAAGACAGAGGGAGAGAAAGGGGGGAAAGTGGGGTAGGGAGAGAGAGACAGAGGGAGAGAGAATGATTGAAAATGGATAAATCAAATATAGTATCTTCCTAGTAGAATATTATTTGATGATGAAAAATACAACCTCATACAGATGTATGCCAAAACATGAACTATGAAAACATAACTGACTTAAAGAACCAGGCACAAAATATCTCATATTACATAACTGATTTGTGTCAAATGTCCTGCATTGAAAAATTTGGACTAAACTGGCAGTAGCTGGTATTAAATATAGATATTCTTGGGTGGGACAGTAAAGCATTACAAAGTTAAATTATGGTTTTGGCCATGCAGCTTTGTGAATGGTAAAATCATTGAACTGTATACTTTAAATGAGTAAAATTATATGTCAACAGTAAATTATATGTAAATAAAATTGTTAGGGAAAGAGGAATAAGTTTTGCATTTGTAAGTAGAACAGTCTCTTAAGTTATAGTATTCATGGTACTTGGATGCTGTTTTTCTAGGTCCATGGAACCATAGGAGAACCCTGGTGGATTTGGGTAGAAGACCCTACAAATGATCATATTTATCATTCAGAATATTTTCTTGCTCTTAAAAGACAGGTAAACGTGTGTGGATATAGCCTTACTATTTTGCTATCATAGAAAAAATGTAAACATTTCTGTTTTTCATTTTATTTCTCTGATCATGATGGTATTAAAGTTTATTTGTTAGGTATTAAGTTTCTATTTGGTTTAAAGGCACATGGTGATTACATGTATGAGTATACTGAATTATAGCTTGAGAATTCAGTTGTAACTTTACATAATTTAAGACATAGTTTTTCAGTGGTGTGGATTATGTAGAATAGATAGGATAAATATTGCATGCATATGGTACTACAGTGTTGAATCATATAGTAAAAAGACCATTCTTTTAAAATTCTCTGAATCATAAGAGAAAGATTCAGTTTTTGGTACTTCTTTAATTGAGGCTTCATTTATAATTTTTTTAATTACAGAAAAAACAAGCTTCCAGCTGAAAGTCTTGATGGGCAGCAAAAAAATTTCATGACTATGTTTTGTTTTCATTGCATTTATCTTTAGGATAATCATCTATTTATTCCTAATGATTGATAGTCCACATTAAGTACTGGTGGGACTCAAAGAAAAATACTAAGTAACAGTTATGATAACTGCAATTATAAAAACCAAGAAGTAATTGAATGAATGATTTTTGGGGAAATTCTGTTAATGAGTCAGCCGATATCCTATTAATAGATGTACGCATGTAAACAATATTAAATACAGATTTACCCTCGGTTGTTTCAGGTATCCTCAGAGAGAAACCACCCACAAGTTTCTGAAGTAACTGAATATGTCATATACTTTGAAATCCAAGATACGGTTTTTTTATTTCTAACGTATCTTATATAGATACTGTTGTCTCAAGAGTGGACTACTAAAATGTTTATGATATCAGAATAACATATTTACTTTAGGTTTTATTTCACATTAGGTCATTAATAAAGAAGCTCAACTACTGGTGTTTACAATCCCTATTTTTGAGCCTTTGCCTTCTCAGTACTACATCCGAGCCGTGTCTGATAGATGGTTAGGCGCCGAGGCTGTGTGTATCATCAACTTTCAACATCTGATTCTGCCAGAGAGACATCCTCCCCATACAGGTAACATGCTGGATGCTTATTGGAGTCATTGGTTCCCTGGAATTGTGGTTTTAATTAATGTGGAAGAGTTTCTGTACTTTAAAATTGTTTCACTTTGAATCAGAATCCAACTTATTTCACAGTACAGTTTGAAAACAGACTTTTCAAAGTCAGTACAGTTTGTTGAACTTAATTGTGAGCCTTAATTTTTATTGACTTTTAAGAAAATTAAACTACATTAGGCTCATTGTAATAGTTTTAATAAGAGTAAGACTCTCCTTTCTTTATCCTTTTTTATATATAGTCATTATTTCTCCACATTGCCTTCTGCTTTAATTGTGTCTCCATGTTTTGTGTAGCAGCAGTTCCCTCAGCTACTCAGGGTCTTAACAGGTCAAAAATAATTTATTGTAAGAACTGTTTCAGTCCTGATGTTTACAAATTGTTTCCAGATTTTTATACATTAAAGTAAATTTAATTTAGTTCCATAACATGAATATATTTCATATACTTGTTATTCAAATTACATTCCCGACTGGAGGAGAATTTAGTTGGTTTATAGAGAACTCCTCAGAAGAGTTTTCATTATGTTAATACGATAAATATGATAGAAGAATGAAAAATGTGTCACTCTATGTAAGAACTTATGGTAAGCACTTCCTCTTGTAAAGAATTAAGAATTGTTAGAAATACAGGATTCCGTACTGTGCATGTTTTTTCCGTTACTGTATGAACAGTGCCATTTGGATCTTTTCAGAGCTACTGGATCTTCAGCCTTTACCCATCACAGCTTTGGGATGTAAAGCATACGAAGCCCTGTACAACTTCAGCCACTTTAACCCTGTACAGACACAGATATTTCATACGCTGTATCATACAGACTGTAATGTCTTACTTGGAGCACCCACTGGATCAGGAAAGACCGTTGCAGCTGAATTAGCCATTTTCAGAGTCTTCAACAAGTATCCTACTTCAAAGGTCTGTTGAAAGAGTCATATGCTTACATTCAACTCGTAATTTCTAAACTAACCAGTTTAAGTCTACTTGCAGAATGAAGTGATTAGATCTGTTAACTTTGAATTTTCCAGAGGACCAATCAGTATTAGAATAACTGTTGCAAGAAAATTGACATCAAACTTTGGGATCCTATAGTTGAATTTCTCATGTATACAGTGGTGCCCACGTATCCTTCTTCATTTTAAGACATCTACAATTTATATATAATTACTCTATGAAGTAACTCATTCATAGCCCCATTCATAAGATGTTTTAATAATTCATAATCCTGTGGATATGAAAGAAATGCTAATAATTTTAAAAAACATAGCTTGATTATACATAGGAAACACAGGGGTAGATTTTGTTTTATATTTTTCCAAAAGCCTATGGTATCAACAATAAATGACATTACAAGCCAAGTAATTACTGATTTTAATCACCATATTTTTATTATTTTAATTTTGCTTTATTTTTAATACAAATTTCATGTTTAAAGTTTATAACATGCTATTTTAATAAATGTACATTATGAAATTATTACTACAGTCATTGAACACTACAGTCAATACAATTAGCATATTCCTGTCCCCGGATGGTTTCTTTTTTTGTGACAAGAACACTTAATATCTATTCTTTTAGTGAATCAAGTATATAATACAGTATTATTAAGTGTAGTCACCTTCGTCTATGTTAAATCACTATGTGAAAGAAACTTTGTACCCTTTGACAAATATCTTCTCATCCTCCATTGTGTCCCAATATAGCTGTTACTCTCATTTTTCTATTCAAAACCTGTAAATTTGACTTTTCTTTCTATGTCTGGTTTATTTCACTTATCAAAATGTATGCTGTTGGCAGGATTTCCTCTTTGGTGTAACTGAATAGTGTGTGTGCATGTGCGCACACACACACTCCAGTTTCTTTATTCATCTGTCTTGAGACACTTACATTATTTATCTTGAATCTTCTGAATAATGGTATAACAAACATGGGACTATACGTAACTCTTTAAGATATGGATCTCATTTATGTTTTGGATGTATATCCTGAAATATAACTGCTATATTGTATGATTATTTCTGTGTTTAATTTTTCCACAATGTCTATATTAGCTTACATTTTTTACTTTGAACACCACTTCATTTATCTTCCCAACATTTGCTATCTTTTGTTGTTTCAATAATATCTATACTAACAGTTTGAAGGGACATCTTGTGATTTTGATTTGTATTTCTCTGATGATTTGTGATGCTGAGTATTTTTTCATAGATCTTCTGGCCATTTGCCTTTGGAATGATATCTTCACATGTTGTGTCTTCCTTTAAACTGAGTTATTTGAATTTTTGCTCTTGGTTAGTGAGTTCTTTATGTTTTGCGTATTCATCCTTTATTAGACGTATAATTTTCAAGTATTTATCTCATTGTATAGGTCAACTTTTCAATCTGTTTATTGTTTCCTTTGATGTGTAGAAGCTTTTATGTATTCTCACTTTATTTTTTTTTATATTTGGAGGATGTCGTTACCAAAAAGTTGTTGCCATGACCAATATCAAGAAACATATTTCCCGATGTTTTCTTTTAGTAGTTTCATGGTTTCATATCTTGCATGTAAGTCTTTAATCTATTTCAAGTTAATTTTTAGGATTTGAAACAGAGGTCTGCTTCTATTGTGTTGTATGTGCATATTAAGTTTTTTCTCAAACCATTTATTATACAACTGTCCTTTTCTTCATTGTATATTTTTGGCATCCTTGCCACAGATGAGTTAACTATATGTAGAGGTTGATTTCTGGACTCCAGTATATTCTGTTACTTTTATCTTAATGTTTGTCTGTATGCTAGTGCTTTACTGTTTTGATTACTATAACTTTCCAATGTAATTTGAAATAGGAAAAATAATGCCTCTAATGGTTTTTTTGAAGATTGCCTTAGTTCTTCATGATCTTTGTGGTTCTATGTAAATTTCAGAATTTTTTCTGTATCTATAAAGATTCCATTGTCATTTGAGAGAGAGTACATTGAATCTATACATTGTTTTGCATAGTGCAAACATTTTAGCAGACTTTTCAGTTCATTAGCATGTGGTATCTAATTGGTTGTAGCTGCTTCCATTTTTTCGTCAGTGTTGTGCCTTTTTTTTTTTTTTTTTTTTTGGTCTTTTTCCTTTTTATCGGTACCAGGGATCGAACTCACGACTGCCTGCTTGCAAGGCAGGCGCTTATGCCACTGAGCTAAGTCCCCAGCCCAGTGTTGTGCATTTTTTAAGGCACACACTTTTCAACTTACTTTTAATTATTCTTTTCATGCTATTTCAATGGGACTTTTCTGGCTGTTTTTTTTTTCAGGTAGTTTGTTGTTAGTATATAGAAATGCTAAAGATTTTTGTATATTAAAAGCCTAAAATTTTATTATATTTTCTTATTCTAACAACTCTTTGGAACATTTTTAGGTTTCCCTTGTCTTTTACATTGTGTGAATACTTTAGATATGTTGCAATTGAAATTATGTAGTGTTTCTGTTATTATGATTTCAGAAATAGTCACTTACTTTTTCACTGATTTTCAATTAGTGGCATTTTTCTCTTATTGTATTTTCCTACTTCTCAATCAATTATGTGATTGTTGATCAATAAAGATACCTGTTAATACAAAAGAACTTTATTCAACTTGGAAGCATTTTATAGACCAAGAATTCATATGAATAACATTTGTATGCGCTTGTCCTACTTTGACATATTTTATGTTTACATGTATGTGATACTACTATCACTGTTTTCTTAGAGTTTTCTTATCCACCTTTTTTAGGCAGTATATATTGCACCCTTAAAAGCCTTAGTACGTGAAAGAATGGACGATTGGAAAGTTAGAATAGAAGAAAAACTTGGTAAAAAGTAAGTTTCTACTTTTGTTCAAAAACGGGTATGTTGTAAATAAAAGCATATGTTATGAAAAAAGGAATAGGTTGTGAATAAAATAACAAATAAAAAGTTGCATAAAACCATTGAACGTATTTTCAGTGATTTTTAGAATATTGATGTTTTCAACGTATTAAAAAAGCCTTAGAGTGCAGTTTTTATAGCAAGGTATTGCAGATAACCCAAGTATCTAATAGGGCTACACTGAATAAATCGTGCTACATTTGCATATTATAAATTATTTTGTTACACAAAAAAGAATAATCTTTTTATATGCTGAATGAACAATCATCAAACATAACACAAAGAAAAAATTTCAACTATCCTATCTCTCCTTTTAAAAATAATAAAGAGTATGAATATTCAAATGCTTCAAATGAAAAATAGATGGCTAATGGATACTAATATTATGGAGACAGTTCACTATATATTTGAAGGATATGAATAGGTTAAATATTCAGTACTATAAAATATTAAAAATGAATAAAAATAAGTGTTTGAGAATATTATACTTGGAGGAAGCAATCTTGTCCATTTTTCTGTTTTCTGAGTCTTAGCACATGTGTGAAAGTTGTTTAGTAATTGTTCAGTAATTGTTTAAGTTTGGAATTAATTAGTTTCCAGATATTTTTGCATGCTGGCTAACTCTTCAGGACTCAGAGTTTTAGCTTTTTCTTCTTTCTCTAAAAGACTTTTCTAAAAGACCGAGATCTGTTCAGAAAGAGATAGCACCTGTGTGCCATGAATTTCTTTGCTTATGTTCCACTATGCTTGTATTTTTCTTATTATCTGTGTAAAATTTCAGTCTGATAAAAGAAATTTAATTGACACAGTTATATTTGTAATGATTGCTTTCTTTTGTCTTGATGTGTTAGTATAGCTTTTTATCAAAAATAATTATTCTCCCAAAAAGTTTTGTTCCAATATGTTTATGAGCTGTGATTTGAATGTCATAAATCATTCACAACAGAGATTCCATAATTATAAGAAAAGTTTTGACACTGTTTGCATATCTGTATAAGAGTTAACTGTGTCAGGGGTTTGAATTTATGTATCCTTCATTTTATAGTGAGAATTTTAATTTCTCACCATAATGTCAGAAAAATTTAGAAATCAAAGAGAAATAGTACCTAAGCACTATTAATTGTTATTTTGATAGAGATATATTTTTATTTCCTTAGAGTTATTGAACTAACTGGAGATGTCACCCCTGATATGAAATCCATTGCCAAGGCTGACCTTATTGTCACTACACCAGAGAAGTGGGATGGAATCAGCAGAAGCTGGCAAAATAGAAATTATGTACAGCAAGTCACTATTCTCATCATTGATGAGATCCATCTGCTTGGTGGGTACCAATATATTTAAATCATTTAGAAAATTCAGGTTTCTCATTATTAGTTTTAATTGACAGATAATTGCATTTGCTTCTGAAGTACAATGTGATGTTTTGATATATATATACAAAGTGGACTGATTAAATCAAGTTAATTACTTCATTTGTTTATCATTCTTATGGTGAGAGATTAAATATTCACTGTTAGCAGTGTTGAAATATATATTACTTTTATCATCCTACTGCAGAGTAATCTCACAAATCTATCTCTGTTGACTGAAAAATTTGTACTGTTTGGCTGGTATCTTCCTGTGTTCTGCTTATGTGCCCAGCTTCTGATTCCCACTGTTCTACCCTTTACTTCTATGAGTTTGACTTTTTGTTCCCACATACATGCATCTGGCTTCTTCCTCTTACTAGAATATCTTTCATGTTTACACACATGGCTGTAAGTGGTAAGATTTCATGCATTTTATGATTTCTGGTATTTTGTTGTGTGTGTATGTTGATTTCCTGTTCTTGGCTATGGTGAATAATGCTGCATTGAATGTAGGGGTACATACATATCTGGCATATTGATTTCAGTTCTTTTGGATGTATATTCAGAAGTGGGATTGCTGGATCATAAGCTTGTCCTAGTTTTAGTTTTTTGAGGAACTTGTGAACTTTCTTTCATACCTTCAGCAGTCAGCATATATTTTGTTAAACAATTAGCATTATTCTTCCTTCTTAGGGGAGGAAAGAGGTCCTGTTCTTGAGGTCATTGTATCTCGAACGAATTTCATCTCATCACATACAGAAAAGCCTGTTAGGATAGTTGGGCTTTCTACTGCATTAGCTAATGCCAGAGACCTTGCCGACTGGCTCAATATTAAGCAGGTACGTGGAAGATTGATCAATCAGGCATTGGTAACATGGCTCAGGAGAACACATTAAGAAGGGATCATCATGTTATAAGTGAATAGAAAAGCTGAAAATGATTTCTTTCTCATATTTGTTCTAGATGGGCTTATTCAATTTCCGGCCATCAGTACGCCCTGTTCCACTGGAAGTTCACATTCAGGGCTTCCCGGGCCAACATTACTGTCCTCGTATGGCTAGTATGAACAAGCCTGCCTTTCAGGGTAAGCTTTCAGATTCATGAAATGAAATAGTAATCATTCCGTAGAGTAGTTATAAAATGCTGTCTAAAAATGGTTTGATATTCTTTACAAGGGCAGTGTTGGTCCAACTGCAACAAATACCTAAAGCTATTTACTTCAACTGTTAAGGAATAAAAAATGCATATTAAATTACCTATCAAAAATTAGAGAGATTTCATAAATGGTAATGTATTTGTAATAGATTAAAGATATGTAATTTTGAAAATAAATCAAATAATTTGAAATATTAATCTGTTACAGTGTTTTGTCAGGTAATTAGTAGCTTACAAATTAAAAACTTTAATTTTTACTAGAAACTAAAACATTTTATCACTTTTTTTATAATACTTCAGTTTTTATAGTTTTTTTTCTTTTCTAAAAAATTAGAATAACACTTCTATTTTATTGAAACATGTTTTATTTAGACTGCCTAGAGAATATTTATTGTTTCAATTAAAAATAACCTCCAAAATAAATTCTCTAATGTGAACTGCTGTCGGTTGCAAGTTGACAGTTGTGAGGTGACTTTTTAGCTGCTGTAATTAGCCTTATGACAGAAGCAAAGTATTGATTGTGAACTAGAGACCAATCTTGGCAGTTGAGATTATTTACACCTCCACAGAAGCATTGTATAAAATCACTAATGAACAATAAATCTGCTGTGAGCTGTTCAGCCACACCTGTTCTTACAGCAACAAAAATACATTAGATGTTGAGGTCTGAAAGAGAGACAGATCCGTTCCTGCTTGTATATACAAATGATGCCAGCAGTTTAGTAATATATGTGATTTAAACATTTTGTCTCTAATATGTTTTACCAATGATTTATCATTTTATCCTGCAGTATTCCAGTGAATGGTGAAAAAGTAAGAAATAAGATAAATGAGTTTATTTTTCATAACATGTATTGTGTGAATAGCTTATATCTGTGTAAAAGAAAGCTGATTGCATACCATTGATGGAAATGAAGCATTTTGTGTTTTGTAAATCAATAGTAAACTGAAATACTTTCATTTCTTAAGATATGATATCAGCACAACTGCTGTCCTCATAAACCATTTATTATGACTCTAGTGATTACTGTATTTCTTTGAGTTTAGAAATATAATTTTATAAAACCTTTATTTCTCAGTATTAGAGTATAATATAGTCAAGGTCATAGAAACATTTCTATTATAAATTTTATTTCTCACCCATAAAAGAAATCTACAGCTCATGCTTCAAACAAATTATAATGAGGTTGAATTTTTTTCATATACCATTTTAAGAGCACTGTATAAATATAAACATAAATTCTACTTGTGTCATCTTATCATTTTGTGGCAAAGAAACTTTATTTCCATTTAGGCAAAATGACTTACTGACTTCCTAAGTAATTGTGTTATGTGTTTGATTTATATTTCCCTCACTCTTGTTCCTCAGGTTTGATAGTATTCATTTCACCTTCTGTATTGGTTACTCCTGTGCCATTTCTCAGAAACACATTCTCGTCAGATGTCTCCTGTATTCTCTGTCTCACTTGAAACCTCACATGGCTTTGCAAAATCAGAGAGAAGGTTTTCTCCTGATTTATCTCTTACCTTTCCTTTGGTCCAATTTCTTCTAATTTTTCCTTTTACCGGTTACAGGGTGAAAATGAAAATGAGAGGAGTGTGTGTGTGTGTGTGTGTGTGTGTGTGTGGCCTTTCTTGGACATCTTTCATAAGCATGCATGTCTTGACCTGACACTGTTCAGATCTTAGCACCACTTAGCTCTGTAATATCACTCCTTAGACAAGCAGAAATATCTCCAAAACATAATGTCCGAATAGAAAGCTTAACCTAACTTGTCATGTACAGTTCTTAATGGAATGCCTGAGCATTCAAGCATTTTCTTCTCTGGCAGCTCAGGGAAGAACTTGGATGTAACATAAATCTTCTATGTCGTAGAACCTTAAGCCTTAGGGAGAACCAGCCACCTATTCTTTTGTGTCATCTCTTCAGTGTGCTGTCATATCTGTGTAGTTTCTGGAATAATGCTAAGTTTTATAGCCAAATTAAAAGTTCACCCAAGTAATTTGCATTAGTTTTTATATACCCATTTGCTATCTTAATAAAAGTCATATCTTGATGTTAAGTGGCTTACCATTTCATTTTCTACAACTTTTAAACAGCAATCAGAAGTCATTCTCCCGCCAAACCTGTTTTGATATTTGTCTCATCAAGACGTCAAACTCGACTTACCGCTTTGGAATTAATAGCCTTTCTGGCTACTGAAGAAGATCCAAAGCAGTGGTTGAATATGGATGAAAGAGAGGTAAATAACATAATTTATTTTCTTTATATATGTGTCAAATTAATCTTGTAACAGTAGAATGTACTCATTTAATTATGTGTAGTTTTATCCTGTGATAAAAATGTAAACCAACAAATTTGCAAAAAATAACAGAAAGAAAAAATGTATAATACTGCTACCTTGACATTGTTAATGTATTTGCTCTAGAGACATTGACTCTAATGTATTTGCCCGCATAATTATCTCACTAAGCATTTAATTGTGAACCCATACTTAGCATTTTGTCTTTTACACCATCACAATGTATATTTTATTTTCAAGTAAGGTTTCATAATTTTTGTGTGTTTGTGTCTTTATAGAATTGTCAATTTTGTAAAATTAAATATTTTATTTTTATTTTTTTAAATTTTTATTACTTTATTTATTAGTATTAAGAAGAAAAGGTAAAACAAATTTTCACAACAAAATAATGAAAAAGTAACAATTGTTAATAAATTAGACAACATTATCTTTAGTCACTCAAGTACAAAATATGGGCATAAAAATTACTTTAATCAATATTAGCACAACCTTTCTTATTCAGTGAATTAAGTGACACTAGTGGTATAAATACCTTGCACTTTTTTTCTTTTCCTTTCTATCCTTTCTCTTTTCTCCTATCTGAGTTTCTTCTTTTTATTAAACAGTTTTCTTCCATTTCACAGTGACTATTGTATATTTTGAACCTTATGGTTTCACATATGTCACTGTGGTGTAATGTTTTTCAATCATTCTGGGAAGATACACAGAAGGGGAATACCTGGGTTGAATGGGACCTCTACTCCTAATTTTTTGAGGAATCTCCACACTGATTTCCACAGTGTTTATACTAATCTACTCTCTAAAAAATTAAATATTTTTTAAAAATATTACTTAAAAAGAAAGTACGTATCTTTAAAATAGATTTTTCTGTTTTATAATTATTTCTTCGTAGAAATAAAAGTCATATCTTGATGTTAGAGTTCTAAACTAAAATTAGCTACCAAATAATGCGAACATTGTTATAGCTTTTTATAAGGACTGCTAATTCTTTTCCAAAAGGAACATACTGATTGATGTGTATGAATTACTAGTGGTATGTGAGAGTAGCAGTTTTCTCCACTTGTGATTTATTAATATTGCTAAAATGTTGTCTTATGATTTTTTTCATAAATTTGTTTACTAGTTTTCCCTTTTTTGTTGTCTATTTTCTTTGATTTTTTTATTAATTTTAATTCATTTACCTTGCAGATCTGTCTGACAAAGTAAGTTTTAAAAAATACATATAAAAATAAATACATAAATAATACTATATATAATTTCACTTTATGAGTTAGTATACATATATAAATCATCTACTCTATTTTGTAGCTTATTTCTTATCTTTTTATCATGGTAGCTTTTAACTGTACAAGCTTTTGCATTTTATATGATGCAACTTGTTATGTTCTGTTTCTTCTGCTACTTTCTCTATGTCTGCCCTTTCACTCTGAAGAGCAGAGTTACTCAACATCAGTAAAAAGCAATATTCCAATCTATTAGCATCTAGACTTGATGGTTTACATATTTCTCCCTTTCTACTTCTCATGATGCATTTAGGGCTAGTGGGTCCATTGGATAGTATTGTATCTATTACCTTAATATGTAATAGTTAACTGAGATTTTACAATACTTTCTTTAATTTTACAGATAACCTTTTCCACTAGCATTTGCTTAATATGAAAGGTATCAAATGACTACTTGAAGTAAAATGAAAACTATCACTTTTTCTTTAAAATGTTCCTGTTACTTTACTAATGTTACTTGTATATATTTATGAAATATTTATTCAGTTAATAATTTAATGTCAGAATATTTTTATCAAGTTTTTTTTTTTTTTAATCCCGTGTTAACCTCAGATCAACCTTCTGTGTCTAAAGCAATACCATAGTTCAGGAGACAAATACAAAAAAAAAAAAAAAAAAAAACAGACATGCAAGATATTGATGACTTAGTTTATGTGCAGCATTGATCTAGATTTAATTTTAGTTCTGTCATATTTTAGCCCTAAAAGTATTCCAAATGGAGTCTGGTCTTTGAAGTTAAGATGCAAAGTCATTCCTACTGAACACACTTTGAGATGTTTGCTCAAAGTATGTAGGCACTGTGCATTTAGCACATATGTGACTCACATTAACTTCAAACGTGAACCTCGTATGTTCTTCGCTGGTTATAGTACACTTTGAGTATTTTTTATTAATTTTTATGACACAGGACTAAGTAACTCAACTGTACTTCTCAAAGTACAATTACTTCTCAGTATTTTTTATTTTTTATCTTAAAGAGGATAAAACAGAATAAAAAATCTATCAAAATAAACTAGCATAAGAGATATAGGCCTCAAAACATTACAAAGTCAACAATCGTTACCATAATGCCTTTTGATGTCTTCAATTAGCTGCAGATAACTTTGGACATAGTAAAAATCAAACCGAACAGAATAGAAACAATAAAAACAAGACAATGGATGTAAGAAAGAACTGCAAAAAAAAAAAAAAAAAAAAAAAAAGCCAATAATAAATCCAAAATTGCTACCATAATGTATCTTGTTATTTTTTTTTTTTTTTGTGCCAGGGATTGAACTCACTACCTTATGCTTGCCAAGCAGGTGCTTATACCTCTGAGCTAAATCTGTGGCCCTATTTTGATATCTTTGAAATAGCTGTGCCTGCCATTGGATTTGACATAATCAATCCAAAGAAAAGAGAATAAAACCCAACCCAACAAAACAGTGGGAACACTATAGGAGGACTTCCAAAACAAGACGATAGGGAATCAAGAATGGCTGAAATACTCAACAAGGGATTCCTCCCTAGATGTCACACTGCACACACTATCCTCTAAACCCATAGTCAGACCACTGGTCATAGACCTACAATGTTAGTGCAACACCAAAGCACCGTGGGGAGCCAAGGTGTGAGATGGTGGTACTGGTTTGCTAAACTGTGCACTGGAAGGGTCTGAGGTCAGGCTGCTCCAGTTTTGCAAGGGTCCCCGCTTGGTGCTGGTTCCCAGACTGGGTTTGCTCGCTGATGTGTCCTTTGTTTGTTCTATCCCTGGTCTGCAAATGGCACTGACTCCTCAATATTTTTTTCTAAGCACAAAATTTATGACCAAGGCTGAGTAGAAGTCACATAACTGACTTTCACAGATTTTGGAGATTTTCACTGTTAAACAAGAAGACAGAAACTACACAATTTCCAGACATTTTATTTTACCTAGTCCATCTCAAGGAAAAGGAAATCCATAAAGTTTTGTTACTGCCTGTAAAAATTTTTAAATTTTTAAATAAAAATTTCAGAGTTTGCAATGTGTTTCTATGTAAATTCACTGTGGCATAAACCTATGCCATCTATAATGTAGATGTTTCAGTTTTTGGACCCCTACCTAGGTAGTTGACTTAAAATAGACTTTTTATCCTCTTAGTATGTCTATGGGTTACTTTCTATAGTACTCTGGGCTGGAATCTGAATGGCCTCTCCTGTCACTGCTCCTCATTCATCGTTAGGTTGATATGCTGTGACAGGACTCATCATGCTGGGTAGAAATCTAGTGTTAACAACTTGAGCTTTTAAAGGAGACTATGGTGATTTCGGCTACGGTAGAGCAGTGGTGTGTTGACCTTAGGTCAGTAGTTTTTTCTAAATACTTAGGGGAAAGAAGAAAAGAAAAAAAATTTAACTAGGAGAGCATGGACAGAGAATATGACTAAGATGAATATACATTAAAACCTTGGTTGTAAGCAGAATTAGTTCCAGAAACCTGCCTGTAATCCGATGCATTTTTATATCAGATCATTTTTATATCAGATTCTCCCTTAAGAAATAGTGGGAACTCAGATGGTTCATTCCACAACTCAAATATTCATATAAAAATGATTTTGATACTGTATTATGATGCAAGTAATAAAATACAAAACATAAAGAACAACTTTTTAATCTGCACTTATGTTTGAAAATCTTCATGGCTGGTGCAAGAGAGACAAGAAACGGGAGGGTTATTGTCTAGGACAACTTTCACTGTCAGTAATAGAATCACTACTATGTACTAGCTCAATGGAATCTTTTCATTTGTACAGCTTTATCAAGGAAGCTATCCAGTAGCACTTGCTTTTGCCACCTTTTGAAAATTTTGCAGGAATGTGATAATGCATTGTCATTAAACAGATTTGTTGCTTATGCTACTACAGCATCATTTGATGCTTTTCTACAGAATTTTGTACTGTTTCCCACTTTTTACACATCTCCCTACTCTCATTTGAAGTGAAGGATTCTTCTGTCTTTTTCCTCTCTTCCCCTCTAGACAAAATCTCCAAGATCTCCATAAATCCACAGCATGAGAGAGACAGAGAACCACTGGCTCATTTTTGAGCATGTGACACTTGGTATCACATATTACTCATATTGCAAGACATTACTTGTTTATAAAGTTAAAATTTATTAGAAGTGTTTACCTGTGTTGTGGAACACTTGCAGAACAAGTTACTAGCAATCCAAGGTTTTATTCTATATATTCTATGTCTTAGCAAAGGCAAAAAGAGTTATTCATATGTCTTCCTAATCCAGTATTTTTAAAGTATTAGCAAGCAGAAAGACACTTTCATGTACTGTGATGATATAAGATCATCTGCATCAAGAAACCCCAAAAGTGTTACCTTTCTGTGTTTGCCATCAGGAAGCTTTCTTGCCATGGCTTCAGAAGTTTACAGATACGTGCCGTCACATTCCTTAAATTCTCACTTTGAAGCTGCCACTTCTTTAATTTACCTCAAACTATTTCTGGATCTTTGTGTCATTCTCTCAAGCTTCAAATTGAAACAGGAGATCTGGATGCCTTGAATTTTAGTCTGTGGCATGCATCAACAAAAAACAGTATCTTTAACTGGCTTCGGTTATAGGAAATGATATTTGGAAAATGGCTATCCACAGACAGCAAAGCTCCACTGTAATCCTTTAACTGGCCAT